CTCTTTCCCCATAGGTACCTGGAAAGTGTTAGGTATATCCATTTTACTCCGCAGGAACTTTCTTAGATGCATCACTGTCATTGCTGCTGGGCAGCGTAAGTATCTTTTGTCATTCACCTGATGGCACAGTAAAGAAAATCAGTCTACTGAGAAAAAAGCAGTTACTCCCACCAAAGTTGTACTCTAACATTTTATGTAATTTTTAAAAAAAATGCACTTTATTAAATTATGAACGATAATATAACAATTTCTGCTGCCTTAGAAGGAACAACAGAAATAAGTGATAAATTACAGTTCCGGAGAAAGTAATAAAAAAATCCAACTAATTTTATACATAAAGATTTGTATCTCGTACTAAATCCCTTTTTAGCATATACATGCATTACATATTAATTTTGTTCAATTAATTAATTATTTATTAAAATATAAATTTATTGCAGAATTTGACCAAAAAATCAGATTCTGCGGTAAGAGTAATACCACAGGTATTTTTTAGTTTAAAAAGTTGCTTACATATACAGCTGTAAGAAGATGTTTTACCTCTTCTGTACCTAGCGCCATACCAGGAGGTGCACTGCTTTTGTTCTAGGGATACGTGCCTATGTATTTTTCTCAGCTACAAACCTGCCCCAAAGATGTTTGTGTGTGTTATGTTTCCTCTGGAGTAAAGGAAAGTTGTTTACCTCTTCCTTTGATTTTTCTTTCTCCTTACTTCCTTTTCGTTCCAGTCTGTGAGAAGAAATGAAACAATTACAACAAATAATAAATATAGCTGCTATCAGTCAGGTAAACATAAAATATTGCCATTCTGGAACTTGCCTATTCTGGTCAAAGAATTCAATGGATAAGCTTATTATCTCGTCGTCTGTTATAATTCTTTTGTCTTCGTCAGCCACTTCTCCCCTGTCTTCATTAGAGCCATTGGCAGCTGCGCAGAAATTTCCACAATAATTTACATTTTGAAATTCAAATCAGGAAGAATGGCAATTCTCAGTAACAAGAAAAAAAAATCTCCATAGTAAGATTATGAATTAAAGCTACCTAACTGTTAAAACACTAAACTTTTATTATTCTTAATTTACTTCTTAAAATTCTGTCACGGTAATACGTAATTTGTAAGTTAAAAAGGAAACAGCAAAGCATCTAGGTCAATGCTACATTTATTAAAGTTGCGAACGAGAAGCTTTTACCATCAGCCGACGGATGAGCAGCGTAAAAATCCCTTCTTCTTTTCATTTCATCTAGATGGAAAAGCATATATTTTTCTTTTAGTATTTACTGTCTAACTCCTGGTGTTGATACAGGATAGCAGCTCTGGGTTTGGCTTTCTGCTCTTAAGAAAAAAAACTACTTACTTTTGAAAAGGCCTGGTACTAGCTTGTATACAATATCTTGGAGAGTTTTATCTGACCTGAAAGAAGAACAACCCCAAAACATCAAATTAAGCAGATGAAGCGATATTTTAATCCAAGCAGCAGCTCCTCATTTATAATCTTTCACAACAATGAGGCATCTTCTACAAAGCGGGAGGCTGGTCATAAAAAGTTAACTTACAAGACCTTGTAATCAAACTAACACTGCTCTCAATACCGCTATAAACCAAAACTCATCTGTGCTACTGCCACTGAAAAATAATTCTCTCGGACTGAAGGAAGGCCTTAAAAACTACATGCCCTCCCCAGAAATAAAGCGAGCAAAAAGGAACACTGATGAGAAAAACGTTTCTGGAAGGAGAAGTGTGCTTTAAAGGCTTTTGCCTCTCAGCTTGGGAAGTTTCAGCAAGAGTTTTTCTGACTAGGAGCGATGGCTGGAGTGAAGCGTGTCTGGAAGAAACCGAAAGCGGAGGCAGAAACTGTGGAGAAGGTACGGGTGGGAATGGGAGAGAGGGAAGAGGCATTGCATCAGTGCTTGGCGCGTGCAAAGAAAGCCCAACAAAAACTTTCTGTCTCGCATCCAGAGAAATCTTCAATTTCAATCAATGACAAAACTCCAAAGAGAGAGCATACACAGGAGTCAGCTTGTAAATTGACAAGTCCTTTCAGATTTAAATCGCAGGCGAAGAGATAACATCACACGACTGCTGCTGGTCTCCCCATATAAAGTAAAATAGGAGGTGGCAGGGCGCACATTGCATCTTTCTCCTACCTTATATTCAAAAGCGGTCGAGTTTTGTGAACTTGGACATCACAGATAGGACAATACTTGCTGGTCTCCAAGTAACGCACGATACAGGTCTTACAGACTGGAAGTCAAACACGAAAGGCTTTTAGTGATGGCGGTAGGTGAGGCGCAGATATGCATAGATAGAGGTGCGATTTTCTAAACTATGCAAGCTAGAGCAAATCGTCCATTGTCAGCAGCGCGCTGCTTAAGCTAAACAAATACCCAAATAAGCTGCAATTACCATGAAAAGGAGACGCTTAGAGTACATATATTATTACTTTAACAAAGACCGTAGGGCCGTCATCAGAAAAACTGCACGGCGGCCGGGCCACCTATTTCCCAGCCCGTCGGGGAGGCGGAGGGGCGGCGGTCCCGAGCACCTCGGGGGGTTTGGGCGGGTTGGTTTGGTTTTTTTTTCTGGTGTTCCCGGGATGCCGGGAAAGGTGGAAAAGCGGCGGGGGGAACAACGCGGAGCGCCCGGTCGTACTTACAGGAGTGGAGGCACTCTATGATGGTTGTTGCATCAATGAAGTACCCGCCGCAGAGCACGCACATGAGATGGGGGTTTAGCTCGGTTATTTTGATTCTGGTTGTTCGGTGCATTTTGGCGTGGCGAGGGGCGGCTCTGAAAGACACACGCACACACGGACACACAGACAGACAGACAGAGGACCGATCAGCGGGGACGAGCGCGACGGCGTCCCAGGTGCCGAGCTCCGGCGCGTCCCCTTCCCCCGTGCGGTCGCATCCCCCGGCGCAGCGGAGGATAAAGCGCGG